AAGTTTCAGAACCTAACAAAGTTTGCTATCTCTTTGCAGTCCACATAAAAAGGCACAAACTTTCTAAAAATACTGTACATTGTTAGAGGATTCAGAAAAGACATACTGTGAAAGGTATTGAGAGTCCCATTTCCTCTGGAAGCCACAGAAAGGTATGTTGAATTGATTCAATGCAGAAATGTGTACAAAAATTATAGAAGGGCTCCTGAGGCAGTATTTGGGACAAATTCAGTTAGGCTGAGGCTCAGTGATACTCTTTGGAGGGATTTTTATTAATTTTTATCCCAAAGTATCAGAAGTCTTAGGAGATCACACTTTACAGCTGTCACCAAGCTCCCCTGAGGAGGACTGTTTGCATGGTACTTCAGTTATGTATGGAATAAAACTGGAAAAAAGTCCATTTCCAACGTACAAATCCAGGAAATTCTGATTTTATCCCTAATCTCTAAAACCTTTAAAATTGAACCAGAGTTTAAAGTTGAAATGCCCAATTAAAAATTTGCATCAGTTTAGCCAGCAAATGAGACATACCACTTCACAAAATAATAAGATGAGAAGACAAGATGGGTGTGGAAAAGAACTGAAATATTGAAAGAACACATTTCTGATAATTAATCTTACCTTTATAATCTTTTCAACACCAGAAGAACAGATCATGTAAGTGTGAGGATTAAACCGCACTTGGTTTACAATTGACCGATGACCTTTCAATACCATAAAAGCACCATTGACAACCCTGCCGATGCCACCTAGGGGAAAAACAAGCACACATTGAAATGAATAATTAAATCTTCATATTGCTTTCATTCATAATCATTTAAAATCATATTACACTTGACAATGAGCTTCAGCTTTATTTTGTAATATTTTAAGGCCTGTGTTGTCTGCAGAATTCCAATTTTATGAGCAACGCTCCTAAGAAAAGCCACAAGTTTGATGAAAAGCATCCTTCCTGCAAATTAGGACTTGGAGGCTAGATTTAGTTCAACTATCTAAACAAACAATGAAGGTTTTTGCCCTAATATGACAAGTATGTGAATTAGAACAACATACATACTTAATGAAATCACCAGTGAAACCATGGTGCCTAAGGCATGACACTACTCGCAGTCTGTAAATCTGAGGCAGAGACAAATAAAGAGGTTTGACTTGTTAATAGCTATGCTCTATTTTTTAAATTTATTTTTTAAATCAGAAATCCAATGCTGTCACAGCTGACTCTAGTCTGACGGGTAGAAACCTAACAGAGGCAATCTTCAAGGCTACATTATATCTGGACTTAGTATAAGCCTTTGCTAGACCAGGACCTGTAACAACTCATATTTCTGTGAGTCCAGCTCAGAGAGGGATCTGAAACAACACAACTGACCAGTGGGTTATACCATTCTTTGTCACAAGGCAGGGAATTAGCTTAAGTGGAATGCTTTTGTGTTAACAGTAAAACTCAAACCTCTGCCTCATCGTTGACTCTTGCTAGGTCTATGCACCAAAGCAAGAAACTGTCACTCAGTAATTTTTTATATTCATAGATTCACACATTTAAAACCATAAATTTGTTAGAAAGCACACCTGTGTATCTGAATAAACAAGTGTCAATCAACATGCTCTGATTAACACCTTCAGTGAAAGAAACAAAAACTTTTAAAAGAAGGGAAGTAAAAACTGAAAACCACTTCAGAGGAAAACAATCTTGCTATTTACAACCTCAAATGTTGTAAGCACACCTTACAGAAAGTTAAAGTTATTTCATTAGCTTCTGTGCTACTTATAGCTGTCTTAACACTAAACAAGTAAACTTCATGTTCTTCTTGATGAAGATGTTTGCTGTCTTCCTTTGTCCTCAACAGGAGCTCTTTCAGCTGAAATAGCTTCTGGTTTAAGCCCTAAGCCCAACGTTAAACAACTTGTCTTCTAAAACAGAGTCAGAGTTCTCCTGCAGTGCACATTTCCTACAGAAAAACTTGCATTAATACTGAAGAGTAGCAAGATAGAAGGGTCAAGAAAAAAAAAAAAAGGTATTCCTGTATCACCTTCCATTTGTTAGGTTACATAAACGATAAAGAACTGCAGCTAGTGAGCTTGTGTTCAGCCCCTTTTTTCTTAGAAAAACTGCTCTATCCCTTGCACTCATTATAACTACACTCTGAAGACCGAACTGATGAGCACATGGTGAACAAACATGATAAGGATTTAGAAATGAGGAGTCATCCAACTCCTAAAAATCTGCAGACAGATCTTTTTACTGCTTCTGGAAAGTGTTCTGTTTGCACAAATCGATTTTTGCAGACCAAACTGCAGTCTAATGGCCCTTTGGGACAGAAAGATAACATGCCTGAAGAAGGTGAAAGAGATGGCAAGCAACTCCAAGGACCAAAAGGCATGGCCATTTTAAAGACTTTGTATACAGAATGAAGGCTCATTTAAAAATAAGAAAACTTGAAAGGGAGACTATCGCTCCTGTTAACTTCTAAACATGGTAATTGAAACCACACTGAGATTGAGCTACCTGGAAGGGTTCTCTTATTTGGGTACACTTCATTTTCCGTAAAGGTTCAGAGGTAAGTTCTGCCTTTCGCCATTAGAGCAAGATTTCACCAGTGTAAGCAAAGCTGACCGAGAAGTAACTGATTGGAGAGCAAGTTCATTAACTGCCAAATTGGGGTCTTTTGATTTTCTCTTCCATTTTATGAGACTCCTCATGCCCTTTCATTGTGCTCACCCTGCTAGACATTCATGACCACATTTATGGCTGATGGCAAGTTGTCCTACTCCCACAGCATTCTTTCCAGCCAAATCACAGCTGTCAATCCAATTGCATCTATCAAAGCCAGCAGTAGATGGCTACATCAAGTCCAGTTCTCAACACATTTATCTTGACCTAGCAGACAAATGTTCTCAGAAACAGGGCCTCACGAATGGAGAGACAATTTGCTTAGGAAATGTTTCCAAGTCTGTAAGTAATGCCTAAACCAAATTTTAACTATCTATGGACTCTAGCTGCCTGAATTCAGTATAAAAAAAGAAATACGCCCTAAAAAACACTTACAGAAGAGACAGAAGTTAGACAGACAATGAGCAAAAAAGAATTATAATGGACATGAAATACAAATTTAAGGCACCAATATCTTGGTCTGCAATTCCAACTCAGTCATTGTCCTTCTGTGGTACTGTCAGCAGTGTGAATTAACCCATGGTTATTTTCCTAGTAAAAGTTATTTAATGCCAGAACTGGCTTCTGGCATTAAACTTTAAATGTTTATCTATACACTAAGAGCACTGGATGAAAAGTGCACAGCATGCTATGTCTAGAACACAGTTCTCCCTAGGCTGTAGTCAAATTCAGGCAGTGTCTGAAGCCCAGAAAGCCAACTGTATCCTGGGCTGCACCAAGAGCAGGATGACCAGCAGGTCAAGGGAGGTGATTTTGCCCCTCTACTCTGCTTTCATGAGACTCCACCTGGAGTACTGCATCCAGCTCTGGAGTTCTCAGCACAGGAAAGACATGGATCTGTTGGAGTGGATCCAGAAAAGAGCCACAAAGATGACAAGAAGGCTGAAGCACCTCCTGTACAAGGACAGGCTGAGGGAGTTGGGGTTGTTCAGCCTGGAGAAGAGAAGGCTCCAGGGAGACCTTATAGCAGCCTTTCAATAAAGGGGGGTTACAAGAAAGACAGAGAGAGACTTTTTGACAAGGTCTATAGTGAAAGGAGAAGGGGCAACAGTTTTAAGCTAAAGGAACACAGACCTATATTGGATATAAAGAAGAAATTTTTTTACAGTGAGAGTGGCAAAACACTGGAACAGGTTGCCCAGAGAAGTTGTAGATGCCCCATCTTTGGAAGTGTTCCAGGTCAGGTTGGACGAGGCTGTGAGCAATCTGGTCTACCAAAGATGTTCCCTGCCCTTGGCAGGGAGGCTGGGCTAGAGGATCTTTAAAGGTCTCTTCCAACACAAACCATTCTGTGATTCTATGAAGGAACTCCAAAGCCTTCTGCTTTAACATTGAAATTCCCTAAATTCCTTTTAAGCCGTTAACAGTGAAATCAGAGGAAGCATAGTGCTGGAACATACTTCACTCCTCTTAGAGCGAAGGTGAACTTCCTTATAAAGCCCCTTAAACAACTAACAGCCCAATTACAGGAAAAGTCCCCTAGGAGCAGATTAGTGCAATCATGAATCTTAGCAGTCAGCTTTTTCCAGTAGTACAAGAGGTTTTAATAATTTAAATCAAAAAAACATTTACTCTGATAATCTTTGTGTCAACTATAATAGACTGCCCCAGAACCTAATTTTTGGACAACCCCTTGCCTGATGCAATTTTTGTCCACCAACTCCTATGTGCTTAAGTGACATCTATAAGTGCTTAATGCAGAGCCTTCCACATCCTTACCATGATAGCAGTCCCTTCATTTTAGAGTAGACCAGCAAAGCTGGTAGCATATTAACATGAGCATCTGTGTGGCAGACATACACCTGTGTCCAGACTTGTCTGGAATCCCCCTGGTCTCTCAGCAGAGGCTTAGCTGCAGCCACACAGCTTTTGGCCATCTCACGGTGTGAGTTAAGATTGCTCATGTCTGCTGGCAAAAAAAAGGTGCACCTGTACATTAAGTAGAGGTTGGCCATAAACTGTGCAAATTCCTGAGGCCATCTTCCTTTTTTTGCTTGCAATAGTTTCTATTTCTTTTTGCTGTCTTCACTTAACTGGTATTTTTATTTGTATTGTTTCATCAGAATTGGCCTCTGCTATCCCAACAACACTCAAATTTTGCTTTTGAGGTTTGGGGTTTTTTTTTAGGAGATGATGTTTGCTACTGAGTTTAGTGGCATGCACAAGTCCTGCAACTGTTTTAGCATGGCAGCTTTTATAGTCTTAGATAGTGACCATGTGTATAAGCAGTGTCTATACAGAACCAATTAACTTACATATATGTTATTAATAATATTAATATTAAAAAGTCTTAAAGTGTTCAGAGACAGCGTATGCTGATTTTAGATTTCTAACTTTCTAACCTCTAACTACTGGGGGGAAGGGATGGAGCTATACTAGCTGGTTTTGCAATACTTTCTAAAAATTGCTATGCTTAAAGACAGTTTTGAGTAGTGGTTTAGTGTTCTAGCTGTGCCGGTCGATGTCTTTTTGGTCTGCTTTTATTTGATACACAAAGTGAAATGTCAAGAAAATCCCTCTGCAAATAAGCGCTCCAAAGAGGAGCAATACAGAGTCTCAAAAAATTCTTTAAATAATATCCTACTACAATATCTGACCAGCTGGAAGAAATAACTTATAAAAGGCTAAATCTAAAGTGCACATTTTAAAACAGATTTCCCCTACACACGTTTGACACAAATACCATGGCAACACAAGGCATATCTGCAGCCTCCAATACAGACAGAAGGAAGGAATAATAAAATACTTTTGAAGTAGTATGTGTCTACTAAGTTGTCAAAGTGATTAATTCTTGGTTTCCTTTATTATTTTATGTTTTAAATATTATGCTAATGAAATCTTTGTTAACTATACAGTTTTGTAAATATTTATGCAAATGAGTTGACATTTCACATATTGAGAACATGCTGGATGGTGCATACCAGCACATTTTAGAAAACCCTAGTAAATCACAATGAAGGAGAGTGAGCTATTTGGACAGCAATCTGACGTCCCATGAGCAAGTTCCACAACACATAGCAGTGTTTAAAAAAAACAAGAATTAATTATTTGGAGGATAAGGAAAAAAGGCAAGTCACA